CTAGCATTGATCAATCCATTGAATACATCACTTGTGGTTTCCTTGGTTTCCAACTTGATGTCAATTCTAATTGTCGAGTCTAAAAATATTGTATTCAAGTCCTTGTGCTTAAAGTGTTTTACATTGCTTTATAGTGTAAGTTTTAATGCTTTCTAAGGTAGTTTGTTTCCCTTGTAATCTTTAGGTATAAATAGGATGGTTAATGCGGTTAATCATATTTCCTAGCATTGAAAGATTACCTGAGATCTTTGAGAGCTCAAGAACATCTTGTACTTTGACTTCATATCAATATACATGCTAACATAAACATTTCTGCAATTAGTGTTCTTGATCTTGATCGATATAAACTTGAAACTGGGATCTACAATAATCAATGACAATAAAACCTCTACAAAGTTGTTTTCCCTCAACATTTATATCAAACCTTTCCTTCCTTACAACATACTGTGGAAAGAAACACATGAAAGTGTCAAGAATATCATCTGATTTTGGTGAAGACATTCTTCTACGATTCATCCTTCAACCAAGTTCAAGAAAAATTCTATATAAGGAATACAAACTCAGCTTAACATATGATCCTATCCAGGTGGCTCCCTTCCAAGAGAGTGCCTCTAACATAGTCGACGTTCAATTCAAACTTAATTATTTTCTTGTCATAATTGCCACATCGAGCACAACGACTTATACTACAGGTGTTTGTAGAAGGGGGAGGTTAAATACAAACACAACAAATTTTCACTTTTAATTTTTTGTCCTATATTTTGTATAAAAACAAAGAATTACACATATGTTACGGAAGCTAGGAAGGTAAGACCTGTGATCCTAAACTATCTGACAGGTAACAAATGCACTAAATTGAAAGAAAGGGGGGAAGAGTATCTTTCTGATTTGAAGAACTAAGGTTGTATTCAGATATCATGGCGCCAATCTGAAAGAACAAGCTCTTAGTTGTTCTTCGAAAACAAAGTTACTATAGATCTAGAGACCATCTTTTATAGCAGTTCGTGCATAAAATGCAATAATGCAACTTCAACACTTATCTTCATTTGATTTGTTGATCCATGTACCATTGCTCTTCATATCAACCTTTTGCTATGATGTAGACAATTGTTGCTTCAACCCATCCTTCTGTATGCTGAGTGAACAGTAAAACAAGAATCAAATAGTACTTTTGATACCTTTGAACTTGCTTTTGTTGACATGGTTAACAAGTTCCCATACTAGATCAAGGGTTGGACACTTGGTCCCAAAGCATCTTCTAGTCTTCATCCTTGCTTTAGTGTGTCAAGTGAATAGTAAAGCAAGAATCAAATAATATTTTTGATAAATTTGAAGTTGCTTTTACTGACATGTTGAACATGTTCTCATACTAGAATTTCGAGATGGTAAAAGAAACTTGGTCCTAAAGTCTTCTCTTAAAATCGACTTGCCAAATAGCTTTTCTCAAACTATTTGACCTATCTGTTTTATGATCTTCAATCAGCTAGATGATGAACCAATCCTCTTTGGTGTCGATCTAACTTCACTTCATACGATCTTCGATTTTATTTTAAGGCGTTTTGCTTGATTAAATCAAATAGTTGGACCAACAGTTATTTTATATATCAAATTATAACATTTTGTAATGAAATTGGAGATACGAGTAACATACAAACACAAAACTTGTTATATAGTTGGTGAATATTAAGTTAAAACATAAAATATTTTTGTTTTATATAAAAATAAAAATAAAAATAAAATCTAATGGTTAAACTGACCCAAAATTAGGAATTTGGAAAATTAAAAAATATAAGCTCATTGTAAAGTAGTTTCTTATCGGTCAACATCAAACCTCAATTTGCCAAAGGTGAATCAACCCAATTTCAGTTTGTGCTACTGTTAGTTCGAAGACCTTCTACTCATCTGCCGCTACTTTTATTTTCTCAAGTTTGCAAGCTCGGTCTCTTAAAGTCCGGATAGTAGAATATTGTTTACCTTTTCAAATCTCAATCGACATCAACACGAACTCTTTAAGCTCACACTAGAAATATTTAAGCCTATTCGACATCATTAACACATCGGACACCACCATCAACTAGCGTTTGAGTTCTTGTCACAAGACACCATCTTCTTTTTCATCGAGCTCCATTATGTCGCCAACTTTCATCTTCAACAGTGTTGCTACATTTATCGTTTTTGTTTATGATATTAATTTACATTTGACACCCTCATGTAATTGGTGATTGATTATATGGTCCCTTTATAATCGATAATTTTCACAAGGAAAATGAGTTCACAACAAGTTGTTGAACCTCAAATCCAGACCCGAATTATCATTGGAACATAATATGAGTCACTTTTATCTTCTAAGTTTTTTAAATCATGGTGCAAATCTTCTATCATCAAACTTGTACTTCCTCATTTGCTTTGCATTGTATATTCTATGAGTTGTAATCAATCTTAAACAAATGAATAGTTGACAAGAATCAAAAATGCTTTTAAAAATCTGTTCACTTTTTCTCTAGGTTTTTCCCACAAACACCTTTTCAGACGATATTAAATTTACATTTCAATTTTAGATTGTCTTAAAATAAATATCCACTATTAAAAATAAGTACTAATTTTCAATTCTATATTAATTATGAGATGAATGAATTCATCATCATTCAATTATGATAAAGATTTATCATTTAGGGGCCGCTTATCAAACGCTTACTTGGGTAAGTGAACACCAAATCATTTTACCGTACTGGATAAATACGATAAGGATAAAAAAATTTACCCGGTAAGAGCGAAACAAGGACCAAGAGTTTTACCCGGTAAGTGAGAGGGACGACTCTTATCACGGTAAACACTTACCGGGTAAATTGTTGCATACGATACCGTTTTGGTGAACTAAAATCTTATCCGGTAAGTAAATAATAATGTTAAATTTACCGATAAGCGCTTACTGGATAAGTGTTTAGTAAATGGCTCCTTAGTTAACTAAAAAAATATATTATACTTATTTTTTATAAATATATGTATTTTTCATTTTAGACGTCTATTTTTCTAACATATGTATTATTGGGTAATTCGGCTCTCACCATAATTTGGAATCTCGTGACTCTTACTATCACCTAGATCTAACCAAAACCTACATCATCGTCATACCCGTCCTCAACGGTAGGCCACAATCCTCAATTTGTCCGACGGGCTTATTGCAATTTGCATCCATGTAATCGTAACATCGATCAAGTTGGCTGCTTGACATCTCGTGATACAATTGCGTCCTTTGTCAAAATTATAGTACATCGTTTTATCACATATGTGTTTCAAAAATATATAAACGATCAATCATACGAATTTTACCATTATTTTTTTTTAAATACGTTTTTATTGACAAATAATAAGGGTTGAGTTCACCTGAGACCAAGGGTTTTTTGTGAAACCCGTGAGACCAATTTATGTTCATTGATCAACTTTATAAGCTAATGRTCWAATGGTCCAAAGTTGTACGGTGACAATTTTGTAATTATTGAGAAGTCTCGTAGCAATTTTGTGATTATGAATGTGGAGATTGTAGATCTAATACAAGAGCTGAGAATTGGTCTTACGGGTCTCACGAAAAAGCTTTGATCTCATATGATCCCAAGTCCAAATAATAATGTTTAGAAATCATAATCAATTATTTGAAACATTTTTTTTTATAAACTTGGTAATAGATTTTCAAAACTTTAGTTTAAATTTCTTAACAAATGGCATCATCGATATAATTATAATACTCAACTTGTTTTTAGTTTACATGAATAATGATAGACCATCGGAGTGATGACAATAATGTGATCCATGCAATAAAAACCAAGGGAAAGGTATAAATAAACTTTATTATTGGTTTAATCCTTAAATTATTTTTTTAAATAAAAAAATCATTAAATTTTCTTATTTTAAATAATTAAGAACTATTTTTTTAGATGAAAAAGTCATTAAATTTTCATAATCATTTTAATTTTTTTTAAATAAAAATTATCGAACTTTTACTAATCGGTTAATGTAATCTTTTTAGGTTAAAAGAATTTAGATAACCAATTTTTAAAAATGTGATGATTTATTTATAAAAAAAATGTTCAAGAATTTAATTAATCAAAAAAAAAATTTTAATGGTTTTTTAATTTAAAAAATAAAAAGTTTAATGATTTTTCATTAAAAAAAATAATTAAAGGATTTAATCATTGAAAATGAAAAAAAAAATTAATGATTTTTTATTGAAGAAAATAGTTTAGGGACTAAACCATTTGAAATCAAAAAGTTTGTTAGTTTTTTTTTTAAATTTTCCTAAGAATTAATGGAAAAGAATATTTGTTTACTAGAAGAATACCAGAGTAATGCAGCGAGATAAATCTCGATTTAATATTTCGTTTTATTCTTTGTCTTTGTGGATGTTATAAGTTTATGTTATTTTGAGAAATCGATAATGTTTTTATTTTTGAATACAAAATAAATTTGAAAAATAAAATATAAAATTTTTAGTTTTCTTGTATAATTTTTTAATTCATTTTTTTTATTATAATTTAATTTAAATTTAATAACGAAGTAATTTTTTAATAATATAATTTTTTATAAGGATAATAGTTAAATATTATGTTAGATAATCATTGTATTTTAGATTTTCTATATTTAAAATGAAAAACTTATATATTGTATTTGATTATTTTTATCTGCAGTTAGTTACATAATTCAAATATGAAATTTTAATAAATTATACTTATGCACATTTACTTGTAATATTAAATTTCAAATAATATGCATCAATAAGTAGTATTATATACATAAAAAATAATTTTTAAGAATTTATATCAAATACTTTATTATTTGTATCGTTTTCAATATCATATATATTATTGGTATGAGTCAAATTCCGTAGGTATGTTTGTGTTTGGTATTGATATAAATAAAATAGTCATCGGGCATTTTCGATATTTATTAATAATTAACTTTTTTATTAAATTAATCCTTAATTATTGTTAATTACAATTCAAAATAACCTTTTAAATTTTATGGTATATTAAAAACAAAATCGTTACAACTTTACGAGATTGTTACAACTTTATAACACAAAATCAGACAAATACAAGAAAAAAGAAGAAATAATTACGTGCACACAAAGGTAAACGTTGCATGATTTAGCCTTTTTTCTGAATCTTTTCGTGATTCATAAAGCATACTTACCTACGCCAGCCACAAAGAACACAAAGTCGTAATTAGTTCGAGAAATCCCATAATCTATGACAACCCCATTATTTAATTAATCAATCAATCAAACAGGAACAGTTCGATGATCTGTGGTCGACGTCGGCTCAGCATCTTCCTCATTCTCGCCGGATAATTCTTCCAGCGATTTGCCATTTGGTTCCGGCACTAAAAACGTAAACACCATCCCCAAGAAATTGATGACGCCGAGAACGATGAGGGAGTTCTTGATCCCGATACCAGGAGGGTAGCCATGGTCGGTTTTTTTAGGGTCGGTGCTTTGGGAAGCGTAGAGAAACCCGTAAGCTCCGACGATGGCACCGGCTTTCCCGGCAGCGGCGGAGATACCGTGGCAAGTGGATCTGAGTCTTGCCGGAAAGATTTCAGCAGGGACGACGAAAGTGGTGRCGTTAGGGCCGAAGTTGGCGAAGAAAAATGTTAATGAATACATGACGATGAATCCAAGATGGTTGTCGTGTAAGGTCCAGTGGTGGTACGGTATGGCGAGAGCAAACATGAACACCGTCATGAAGAAGAATCCCATGAGTTGGATCGCAAAACGTCCGATGATATCGATGAACGCAACCGTGAACCAGTAACCGGGAACCGTACTGCAAAGCGCAATCAGGGTTTGAGCTTTGGCCACCTTGAAGACCTCGCCGGTGGCGCTCATTTTGGCCGCTGCCGGAATCCACCCGATGGCGGTGAAGACGTCTTTCTGGAAGAGGTTTTGTGAGTAGAAAGCAATGTCAAGTAAGAACCAGGTACTGGTGGTTCCGAGCAAATGAAGACCATGTCGCCGGAGAAATTGTTTCGAAAACAATCCGAATGAGTTTCTGGTATCCTGAGCTATCTTCTCTACCTTCTGGTCTTCGGCTTCAATATCAACTTGTAAAACTTTCGCCATATCTTGGGCAGCTTGTTTCGCGTTCTTCGCCACCAAAGCGGTGTACCTAGCGGTTTCCGGCATCTTCATCCGCCAGTAATAAGTCAGGGCCGCAGGGATCGCACCGAACATCAGTATAATTCGCCAGATATAGTCCGCTTGTGGGACTGTGGACCCAATCGGGTCCGTAGCGTAAGATGGAGCGTTAAATGCATGGTCGAAAGAGGCCGACACAATCAACGCTACCACCCCACTAGCCAAAATCCCAAACCCTTGCATAGCAAAAACCGCGGCAATAAACGCACCACGGGTTTTCTTGTTAGCGTATTCGGACATAATCGTGGCYGAGAGCGGATAATCACCACCGATCCCAAACCCGAGCCAGAAGCGGAAGAAACAAAGGGTGGCCATGACACCTTGTGCTTCATTTCCAAACGATAGACCGGAGGCCAGGGAGCATATGACCATGATGGCTAATGTCATACCATAGACTTTTTTCCGTCCCATTTTGTCACCGAGCCACCCAAAGAAAAGTTGACCGCAGAGGGTCCCAACGAGTGCGACACCGGTGACTGAAGAAGCGACACCAGGGGGTAGCGTTCCGGGCTTGGGTGCACCGTCTTTGTGGTAGTAGATACGACCAAGCAATTTGGTGACGAGAGAAATGGCGAAGAGATCGTAGGCGTCGGTGAAGAAACCCATTCCGGCGATGACGATGGCCGTGAAATGATACAATTGGGTCTTGGCTAAATCAAGTGCGTTAAGCACTTGGAGTTGCTCTCGAGCCATGGCTACTCTCTTCTTCCCCAACTAGAAAACCTGCAAATTTAGGAAGAAACCATAAATACTGGCTTTTTTTCAAATATTTTAAGACATAATTTTTTTATTTCTTTAAATTATGTTAAAAAAGCCAAAAAAATGTTTTTGTCGTTGAAGTCTGATATTGGAATTAAAAATTTGAAGGTGTCGTATTCGTGCATTATTGATGTAGAAAAATACAATGAGTCTATTAATTTTGTCTGGAAATTATTTATAAAAACAGATATTTTAATAAATAGTTGCCGGACGAGGACTAGAAAGACCCACCCACCCCATTCCTTCACTCGGTGTCAAATGTCGATACACGAGAAAAATAAATTGATGGACCAATGACTTTTAGGGCTCTTTTGTTTGTTACTTACCCAAAAGTCCAGCATGCAATTTCAAAATTAAATGATATTAAAGATAATATAAAAATGAGTAAAACAAACCCTATATATTCTTAGTCTATATAGTCAACTCATTCATGGCAACCCACCCTGCAATTAATATACAATACATACATACATATATATATATATATATATATACGTACAGCCATACAGGTGTCTGCATGTTCATATTTACTTGTATAATTAATGCAGGGAAAAATGGTAGTTTCGACTTTTAGTTAAAAGCAAGCTAAAGTAAATGAAACAGGTAGATCAGTTGGGCTAATAATGTTAGTTGAAAAGTTGACTATTAGTATAGAAAAACTAGCTGAGATTGAATCTTGATTTTCAAATTGTGGGTAAATTACTATGAATACGTTCTTAGAGTGTTCACAAACAACTACTTAATTATGATGTCTTTTTTGTATACAAGGATCAACACGAACTCGTAGTTGAAATGATTGTTTCGACTGTTTTCCGTTCGAGTAATTGATCGTGTATACAAGAAAACATGTTATAAACGTGTGTGTATATATGGGAAAGTTATTCATGATGAATAATATTCATGAGATATCCATGATTAATAGTATTCATGATTATTCATTATGAATAGCTAGTTTCATGTATATATATAGAGAGAGAGAGAGAGAGTGCATACCTTGTGAAGAAAAGGGTATCTGGCAAGGTGTGTTTTAGAGAGAGAAAATTGAAGAAGCTATGTGAGAGAGTAGGTGTTAGATTGATGGGGTATTTATAGATGAAGAAGTTAACACAAAAGATGAGTAGAATTAAGCATATGATGGGCATATGCTTTTGAAGTCAACGGTTGCACATTGCTTCTCTAATCATCTAAACTCTGATTCAGGTCAACGCCCCAGCTTGCTTCATTTCTTACTAAAATATACCCTCTTATCATGTTACCTCATTCAACATTTTCGATGAGGATATATACAAATAATCTGTCTCCAAACTATAAACAGGTAACTAAACATTTAGCATCTCTTATAAGGTAAGAGACGTTTAACGGATTAAAGATAATGAGTTTTATCAACAATCTTACTGTGTTATTTTGCTAAAAGAAAATCTTTCCCGGCATGTGAGGTGGTGAAGTTTATCTAGTTAGCATGTAATAGATAAGAGACGCTTATACAATCACTGATATTTTACCTGGTAAGGTAACTGAAGATGTTAACTCTTATCGCGTAAGCAGTTATCTAGTTTATGTCCGTAATGGTCCCTTAAAATACATATAATTAATTTGTTCTTTTATGTTTTTAATGAAGTGATGATGGATCATAGATTTATTGAAGGATAAATAAAGGACATGACATGATGATTCTTATTTGAGTATGTACTATCTTAATAGGTTTTTAAAAAGATATCTTACATCAAGAACAAACCTAGAATTTGTTTTAAACGATGATATTATTTGACTATAAAAAATAAATATAGGAAAAACATTTTAAAAGGTGACATCATTTTATTACAAGAAACAAATATAAGAAAAAATTCAAATGGACACCATTTGACTAAAAAATTGACATTAACATGATTTGAACTTGGATCTAAGATGGAACAAAAGCTTTGCAAACCAATTATAACAAAAAAACTTGTTCTCATTATAGTTTTAAAATACATACAATGATATACAACAAATTAATACAGTTGCATATTTCACTAATATAATTTTTTTTATCCTTTGACGAAGGAATAATATGATGGGACCATATTGGGTTTGTCCATGTGTTTTAATAGATAATTTAACAAAAGTTAATTAATTATTTAATAAATATTTAAAATCATGAACAAAAAGCAAAATTAAGAGTTCAAAGACTCAAAGTAATAAATATTAATGGATAAAAAGTAAATTAGGATTTTAAAATTACTAAAAATTTACAGAAATGAAAAATAATGCATTTTCTTAATATTCTTTGAATATTTATTTAAAGAAAAATAAGATTTTTAATTAAAAAAAAAAACTAAAAAATAAGTCTCCTAGTACAAGACTATGAAGCCCTACGCCTTTTGAAAAAACGGTGGCCAGTGGTTAACGTAGGGCCTCAACAAGAGGTCGTAGCGCATTCTCCTTTGACAAAAAATTCCAACTAAATTTGTACTAGTTTTCATTTAATTTAATAATATAAAAAAATCTCAAATTTTTATTTATTTTAATAAATAACCAATAAATCTTTTAATTATTGATAATATAATTATTAAATTGTTTTATAATTTTTCATTATTTGAAAAAAAAAGCATTACATCAATATGAAACAATGTCAGAGAAGGGAGTTCTCCTATCTTTTGATCAAGAAAACAATACGTAACCCAGAGGGGATGCTGAAATCTGTTTTATCAGATAAAATGAGTAACGCATAGGAAGTAGAACGTTTATTACACTGTCAAGTAAAAAAAATTGATTATTATTTAAAATTTAAATTCTATCAAACTTTAAATTAAGTGATTTAGGAGCATAAATGTACTGGCGAAAGGCAAAAATAAGCCAAATATCCCGGATTAGTAATATATTGATCCATTTATTCCTTCCCTTTTGCATAAATTTTGGTGTTAATGTGTATGCGTGTGTGTTTCTTGGTATCGAACAATCGTATGACTTTAGTGTTACTATATAAATAGATGGTACAAATAAAATGAATTGGTAAATATGTGAAAACATCGATAAAAGAAACTATGATATATTATTAACCTAAATTGTCACGATAAATATGTGTATGGCGATAATAATAAGAAATACAAGCGTACCTATAAAGGATCCAGGGAGTGTTGTGCACCTGCTCAACCGATTTTCACAAGTAGAACTTTTTAGGTATGAAAGATATACACGTTAAACTTTCAGAAGTGCTCCAGGATAGTAGACCATGACTTTTCCTAAGATCAAACCGAATTGACTTTTCTATGGGATTAAACCGCGACTTTACACGCATTCGATCCAAGTTAAAGGTGCAGCTGCTCGATAAAATCATAAGTCCACCTTTAATAAATAATTTGGTGTGTTTTGGAAACTGAGAAGAAGAAATTGTATAAATAAGAGTTTTGGAAACAATGTGAACAAATTAGAAACAGACAAGACGATACTGATTTAAAGCCCCAAACTGATGATGTTATGAATCTTTACTATTTAATACGAAATTGATACTAAAAAGGTAAAAAAGAACCTAAAGTTATTGAAATGCTCAAAAAAATTATACGTATTGGAGGAAAAAACACCTACAAACTATTGTTTGGCATAACCGAAAGTTTACCAAATTGATTTGTGTGTTCATTTGTGGAAAAAGAATGAAAATGAAATTGTGTTAGTAATTGCATAGCCAAATAAGTGTACCCAAGATAAACAAGTATTAGAAGCATAAGAATATAATATATACATAGACTATATACCTTCAATTAATTGTTTTATGAAGACTCGCTTTCGCTACAGCTTCAGTGGGTTCCCTTAACCAAGCCACTGCCTATGAGTCACCAGGTCATTCTTCATTGCGTCGTTGTGCCTGAGCTGTGAGGGCTCTCAGCCGCATGGGTCGGATATATGAGATTACAACAACCAGTATGTGTGATTCAATTAAGTTCTATAAAAAAGAAAAGTAAATAGACTTCTCATTTCTCTTTACTTTACAGATAAAAATATGTTCTCTTAAAATCAACGTCTTATTCATGTCCATTAATTTTATGGATATACACCATTAAAAAGAGAAGGTGAACATGTAATAGATAAAGTTATATTAAATAAAAATATGTTGTGTATTCAAGTAATTTGGTGGGACAGGGATGACACTAGAATTTTGTGACAACAAATTTTTATTATTATACTCAAACTTATAGATGTATAAGCCTAGTTTGGGTGTGTTTTCAGATTGTAAGTTTTCTTTAGGTTATTGGTATTATCCGTCAATTAATAAAGCTTCATGTTTTTTAGTGTGGATGTATGTACACCATCATATCGGTGGTGGAACCACATCTATTCGTTAAGTGTTTATTACATGCTTTTGAAAATTGTGTTACACATTCTGTTTGTTCATCTTAATTCGCTTCAATTCGTTATTCATACGGTTGTTGGTTTGATATAACCTACTGATTGTGTCAAATAAAGTTTGAAACTCTTTTAATTTGAGATTGTAAGGTATAAAAAATCCCCAAACAAGTGGTGTTCGAAACATGTTTTTGTTATTGTTTTTTGGTGTGTACTTAAAACACTACTGTAAGACTATGTCTTGGTTTTTCTACTATTTTGGAAACGCATACCAACTTTGTTGAAGATGATTATTTCAGACGGAAGCAAGTTAGGCCGTAGTAGCCAAGAAACAACATTCGAGCGAAGTTTGCTATTATATATGGCACATGTTTATTTTCAAAAGTTTGGATTTCATGATAATTGGTACGCTTTAAATAAATTTATTTGGTTCTATTAAATATGACTATTTGTTACTTCTAATCTAGTCAATCAGTCACATGCAAAGCCTATTCAGGTTGCCATTCATGGATTCATCAACAGTTGTTGATTTCGTGTAACATCTTCGATATTTTGAAAACTATATTGACGTTTTTGTTTTGGAGAGATTTGACGGGAGCATTGATTTTTGGTTGTGTGTTTTTGAACACGTTCTACTCGA